GAGAAGATGAAGGTAGAAGAGGCCAAGCGGGAAGAAGGCGCAACAAAGAATTGCGTAGATAATGAACTAAAGTTGTCGTGGTAATGTCGTATATACGTTGAGGCCTGGACTGGTTATGTCTTTTACTGAAAGTGGGCCAGTGGGCCCAAAAAACCTTATGCAGCACACTTCATTTATCATACGCCGTAAGAACGCCTCATTGCGTAGGTTATATTGTGTCCGCCTGAACGCACATAACGTACACTTCAGCCCTGTCCGCCATCTGCAATGCAATTTTACGCAATAACCATGAAATAGGCGAGGTGTACCATAAGGCGCTATGGCATTGCGCAATTGCAAACGTTGGTATTTGTAACTTTTTCAAAGGTACAACACATTTCTTGAAGATAAAACTTCATGAATAACTATGCTACATACTATGTAATCGAATGGCCCCAATTACTCCGTATGAAAGAGATGGAACAGCTTTGAATATGCAATTCTAGATAAGAGACTCTCCATGAGTGAAAGGGAAAATTCAATCAGTAGAAATACTATTCGGTATGTATTGAATGTTTGACACGTGTTGATGGCAGAGGTAATCATTTTACAGCTGTAAAAGTTTTGACGTATGAGGCGACTGTCTATCTACCCACAAGGAGGATGAAATTGGAATAGCAGTAGCTTCTTACAGCTTTTAGTAAAACCCGTGCCCAATGAAGTGCATTTTACATCTCGGGACTGAGGGAGTAAACAATACTGTGCTCTTTTGCCAAAATTTATAAGTGCATTTTGGTTATGGTTGATGTTTTGCTTGAGGTTAGCAGGCCTTATGCAAGCGCGGGATGGACATCCATCCACCGACCCACCTACCTTTATTATAGTCAGCTGTCTTTTCTTGCAATACTTCCTCAGCTCAAAATGAGAAAAACTACTAGTTGAAGACAAGGTTTATTTATTTATACTTTTGCATTTGCTTTTGTTTTTTGTTTATTCTCAAGTCATGAAGAAGCAAGCAAACTGTAATATGGTATAGCATTTTATTGTCTTTTTTCATTTTTGCTCTTCTTTATCTCTTATAGTGAGCGAATGTAGGTTAGGAAAGCTCTACCAAAACTATTGGATTTGTGTCCAAACGCAAAGGCTGCTTCAGAAGTTGATGTCGAGCAAATTGCACACATTGTGGAACCATTAGGCTTAAACAAGCATGTTAAAATTCAGCAGTTTTCTCGCGAGTATCTGGAAGATAGTTGGACTCATGTTACCCAGTTGTATGGTATTGGCAAGTATGTTTCATTCTTTGATATGTATAGTGAATGAATGAACTTTGTGTACCTAAGCTGTTGCTAACCTTTCTTTCGGGATTGTGGTTCAGGTATGCTGCTGATGCCTATGCAATATTTTGTACTGGCAAATGGGATCGCGTGAAACCAGTAGATCACATGCTTGTTAAATACTGGGAGTTTCTCCACACTTCAAGCCAACTCACGGATGAGATGTGTGTTTAGAAAGTATGTGATTTTCTTACCACAAAAGGTAATGAGGGAATGGTAACATTGGCCTTGGTATATACTACATATATCTTATTAGCTATTTAACGACAACATGCCAAGTGGAGGCGGCTGCCTTCTCGTGTGGACTATCATTTTGTAACCAAACTTTTTTTGGGTGCGTTAGCGCGTATCAAGTAGATGATGACAAACTTTTATCTCATTACATATAATCTCATTACATATATCTTCTCACTTGTTAGTCCATTGATTTTCAAGTAGGGCTGGACTCGGGCCGGGCGGCCCGACCCGGAACCGACCCGACCCGCCCACTGTAGCAACCGGCCCGGCCCAGTGGCCCGGTCCACCAGCGGTTCGGGTCGAACCGGCCCGGTGGATACCGGTTCCGGGCCCGGGCCCTCCATTTGGTGAACCGGCCCGGTCGGTTCGGACCCGGTCCGGGCCGGAATTAATTTTTTTTTTTTTTTGGAATTTTTTTTAAGTTTTGGGTTGGATTAGGTATTTTGGGCCATTTGAGGTGGTTTGGGGTTGAGGGGGAGGGTTAGGGTTAGGGGTTAAATAAAAGAAGCCAAAAAAAAAATTAAAAACCCGGGTGAACCGGCCCGGCCTGGAACTGGACCCGGAACCGCCCACCCCCGGTTCGGGCTCGGGCCTCATATTTCTGAACCGAGGCCCGGCCGGGCCCAGGCCCGAGGCCCGAACCGGCCCGGTTCAGTCCAATCGGGCCGACCCGAACCGCTGGGCCCACCGGTTCCCGGGCCGGGCCGGGCTCAACAGTAACCGGGTCGGGCCGCCCGGTCCGAGTCCATCCCTAGTTTCAGGTTGGTTCAAGCACTCAGTCTGTACGCTCGTAGATATATATTTGGCTAAAGGGTCAAATAGGCCCCTGTACATATACGAATTGCTTAATTCGCACCTCGAACCAAAAAAAGCTCTGATCCGGTCCACCAACCAACATAATATGTTCAATCCCTACATTTACCCGGTTACCTCCCGTTTTCTCCCCTTAAAAGCCCAGCCAGCAAGTTTTTCGTCTCATAAAATGTTGCTAGTTTACCCGGTTACCTCCCGTTTTCTCACCTTAAGCATGCATTTTGAGTGCACTTCTTAGTTGCTAGTTTACTTATATACTCCCTCCGTCCCAATTTGTAAGATACATTTCGGTTTACGATGTTTGACTGATGATAAAGCAAATTGATCCCTGTCAACACCCAAATTAGTTCTAGAAAATAAAATTTACATATTCAAAAACTACATTAAATCCGCTACAAAACCTGCAAAAAATAATTCAAGCTTCATAAACTTTTGATATATAAAATAAAAGTTTATGAGTGATTTATGTCGACCAAGTGAATAGTAAATGTATCTTACAATTTGGGACTGAGGGAGTATTATTTATTTTAACGAGAACACACTTCAATTAGAAAGTGCATTTAAAAATTACTTTTGTGCATAATGTTTTTGTCAATAGTGCATAACTAGTATCTTAATATCAAAATATTCCAATTTCAATAACATGCACTTTTAACATATAATTTTTCACTTCACAATATTTCCACGCAGAGATAAAATTCAACGACCATAGTTGCACTAAAAATATCATTTCATTCATTAGAATTTTGCACACATTTTAATAAACACATAAGCACCATTGATACTTTAGTTTTGCACTTTATAAAAAGGCATAAGTGTAGATAAATATCATGTCGTAATCAATGCATTGTTAATACATATCATACATTAATAATTAAATATTGCTCCACTTAACATAATATTCCATGCACTTGATTGTCTATATTTTTCACAAGAGAAATACACGTGTCAAATATAATGAATTAATGCTCCTAAGCTTCAAATGATTTACACGTACATTTTAAATTAATTGGAGATGCAATATCATGATTGTATTTTATAACTTTGGTCATGGTGAAATAATAGGGAATCTCGTTTTATATTGAATGCTTTTGCCATCTAAAAAACAGTGCGTCCAACCGCCTTAATTAATTCTTCCAGCCTTTTACCTAAATGCCCTTCTAAGGCACGCTTGGCATTTTTAGTTGTTGCACACACGTATCACGTGCGTTTTTTACTCGCCCAACCATTAAATCCCAGCCGCAAGATTGATACAATGGAGCGTCCAAAATGAATCTTTTTCCCTCTCCAAGGAGTGTGTTCTCACCGGAACCGCTCCCTATAAACTGCCAGTTAACTTCAAGAAATTATTTCAGTGCCTTCCCGATTGCATTTTTAGCTGAAATTTGGTCTGGATAAACTAGACTTCATGAATAACAAGCTAAAAAAAATTCATCAAAAAATTGCACCGGGAAGTGCCTGAAATGCCCTCGGCCGGACGGCGGTTCCCGTCAGGCCGGCTGGACATGAAAAGTCCTCTCTCTCTCTCTCTCTCTCTCTCTCTCTCTCTATATATATATATATATATATATATATATATATATATGAGGACTGCTCAGGTCCCTCCGGAGGGACGGGAGGGACCGTCCGAACTTTACTGTTTGGGGCGGTTCCTGGTGGAATTTTTTGATGAAATTTTTTGAGCATGTTCCTCATAAAGTCTAGTTTGTCCATACCAAATTTCAGCTCAAAATTCGACCGGGAAGGCAGTCAAATAAATTCTTGAAACTTACTGCACTTTATATATGCGCAGAATGTGCAGTAAGCTTCAAGAATTTATTTGACTGCCTTCCCGGTCGAATTTTGAGCTGAAATTTGGTATGGACAAACTAGACTTGATGAGAAACATGCTCAAAAAATTTCATCAAAAAATTCCACCGGGAACTGCCCCAAACAGTAAAGTTCGGACGATCCCTCCCGTCCCTCCGGAGGGACCTGATCTTTTCTGTATATATATATATATATATATATATATATATATATATATATATATATATATATATATATATATATATATATATATATATATATATATATATATATATATATATATATATATATATATATATATATATATATATATATATATATATATATATATATATATATATATATATATATATATATATATATATATATATATATATATATATATATATATATATATATATATATATATATATAATAGAGATCAAATACAAAGCCTTCTTAATTTACAAAGTACAAACTCATCTTGACCGTCCGATGAGTTAATCCAAAGGACATAAAGGCAAGGTGGCATTTTTGTAATAAAACCCAACTTTTTAGGGTGCAACTCGTTGCACCTTAATGTGCAACTGTTATTTTTATGACTTTATAATGTGCAATACTTTGAACCTCAATATGCAATGCAAATAACGTCAAGGTGCATCGTACAAATATTTGCACAATAAGCACACTTTGTACTTGATCTTTCCCCTATATATATATATATATATATAGATTGGATCATATGAGAATATGATCTAATGAGAGAAATAAGAATCAATTAGGGCCATTAGATTCAAAAATTATTTCCCCTAAGCTCATTAATCGTGTAGGGGCAGTACTGTCTTTTACCCCGATTCTCCTTCCAAATCATAATCGTTCTGCAAATCAAACTTTCCATAACCGTTTTTGTTTCCGATCTTACTCTGTGTCTTCTATATCTCCTATGGATCCTCTACTGTACATCTTTCATCTCTATGTTCTTCTCAATCGTCATTGATTTTCCAACGTTGAATACAAGCGCCATCGTCGAATAAGAAATTTGCTAGCAACTTTATCTTCTCCGTATGGATCACGGTGAGTTTTTTTGAATTGATCAATTTCGTAATTTAATTGTTTATATTTTATTATTGTTGAATTTATGTCGATTGAAACGCTTCTAGTTGTCAATTTAACGGTTGTCTTCCTGATCAAACATCTTCTACCCATATTTCTTCTGATTCCCTGCAAATCAATTGTTGTTGTGTTGTTTGAAGGTTTTACTTTTAATCTGATTTAATGTTGTTATGTCGAACATATGTGTTGGGATTCTTTTTCTTCTTTTTGTTGCTGAAGTTTTTAGTAATAACCTGAATTGTGTTTCTCTCAGTTTGCTGCACTTTTTGCTTCATTAACTACTTTTATAACTGTTGGTACACTTTTCAATTTTGAATGTACTAAGGTTTTATCTATTTAGCAATTTGATTGATACTTGTTATTTATATATTTGTAGATTCTACTTACGAGTTCAGTTATTCTGATTCTACACCAAACTCTTGTCATTCATCTAAATTTGAAGTTTCTCCAAACATGACCAAGTATTGGACTCCTATGTGTGTTGAGAGCTGTAAGCCTCATGTTGGTATGATTTTCACAAATGTTGCTGTTGGATTTCAATTCTACAAACAATATGCTACTCTTTGTGGCTTTGATATCCGTAAGAGTACCTCAAGAAAGAGTAGTGATGGAGTTTGTGTGTGGAAGTATATTTTGTGTAACAGAGAAGGATTCAAAAATCTGCCTAAACCTACCAATCTTGAATCTAGCAGTTGTGTTGGTGATGAAACTGAATCCATGAACACAGAATCTAGCTCTTCTAATTGTGAGAATATTGTTGACTGCAATGAGGAACTGAAAAGCTCAGAACCAAAAAATATTCCTTCGAATAAGAGACGTCGTGTATCAAATCGTGTTGGTTGCAATGCACGTTTAGTTATGAGATTACATGCTGAACATGGATATGTGGTGACCTGTTTTGAAGAGCGGCATAATCATCCCATGGCGTAAAAGAGAAGTCAATTGAAGCTTCCAAGAAGTCTAAAAGACTGTGCCGAACTTGTAACTAGCTTGCTTTCCATGACAGCAGGAATTGTCCTCTAAATTCTGAGAAATAACCAAATTCAAACTGTCTAATGTGTTGGAGTTTCAATTTTTCATGTCTCTTTCACACTTGCTGTGAATTTGTTCTTGTACCCAAATCTTTATATTCTGTTGTGCAACAATCATACATAACAGATTTGCTTATGAATGGTTTTGTGATTGTTTTAAGTAACTGTCTTAATTAAGTTCTAATTCATACTCTTTTGCACATTAAGTCCTAATTCCATGCACTGTTATACAATAACTTGTGCTTTGTTTTCCTCTAGAGTACATGATGCATGATTTTGACAAACAATGTGTACTCATATTAAGGAGTAAGATATTGTGCACTTTTATCAGTGTATGAATGTCCTGATTCACTTAATCTGGATTTGACTAAATAATGCACATTTATTTAAATTCAAAAAAACTGTTTCACAACTTTAAACTTCAACTTAACATATTCATATATTCTCTAAACAATTTACACTAATGTCATGCTATGACTTTTATTTTACAGGGATACTCATGTTTAGTAACCTACAATTTTTTACATTAATTCCTAAGTGATGCACTGGAAAGTATCTTATTTAATAATGCACTGGAAAGTATCTTATTTAATAACACAAGTGAAATTAATAATTCATAAGTGATTGATTGAAGTATCTTATTTACTTGAATATTGGAAAGAATTTTCTTTTGTGATCACACAAAAAGTTCAATTTCATTCATACATTACACAACTGGAAGTTCACATTAGCTTTAAACACAAATATAATTGAAACTACGTAAATGTCATTGTGGTTGTAAACACCAAACCAGATCCAAATTGTCAAATCCAAAACCAAAGATATGAAGGCAAGCATTTAAATGTCATTGTAGTGTTGTACACCAAACCAAATCCAAAACAAAAGTACATGAAATTATTTAAATGTCAACATCAGTTCTTCATTTCTTTGTTTTTCCAAACTCCTTCACTCCGTTCAGATTTTTTTCCCTTCATCTCATTCACTTCTGTTGTGGACAATATTGCACGGTACTTCATTCTTAAAGCACTCAATAACTTTGCATCTCCCTTTTTAATACCACAGTCAAAATCTTATGTTCCTTGGCCACTGTATGTTTCCATGTGTCTCATGGTCCATAGTCCGTTTTCGTGCTCATTTTTCACTTCCCTCCAACCCATTTTTAGGCAGTTTATAGATGGTGTACGGAAGACCTTGCCATTATTGTTCAATCCTCTTTCACTCAGAAATTCCACAAACATGTCCCTCTGTTTGCAAAATCAATAACAAACGATACATAATGTTATTTTGTTCACACTTGTTAAGTAATAAATGTAAATATATTTACATTTACCAGTACTAATGGCATCTCAGAATATTTGTGCTCAAATTCAATTTCAAGTGATGAGCTATCCAGTATCTCGACATGCTGATTTTGCATGTTGAAGCACATACTGTAAAAGTGTTCTGGTTGCACAATTCGAAAGAAAAACTGCACATAATGATGGTATAGTTATATATTTGCATTAATAATATCAATGGATGCAATAATTTTTATATGTCTTTTTTTCTCACTATTTTCAAATTCAATTACCACATCAACATCCTCCAGTATAACTTCAGGTTTCACTGCTTCCAATGCCATCTCTAGTGTCTGTTTGAAAACATTGTACATCTCATTTTCTTCAATAGGATCATCCATCGTATATGGCTGCAAAACACTTTATTATCATATATTTAGTCATGCAATCTTCTTAAGTAAGATAGTTTCATTTTTAATTTCATGTCTTATAAAAACTAATTGGATAAACACTTACACAAGGATATGATCTTGCAAACAACCTACATGGGGAGTCTTTCTGCACTTATTGACTTTCAAAAAACTGTCGCATATACAACAATCACAACTCAGGTCTTAATGAACTCAACATATGCTCATACGCTCTAAATAGTGCAGTCTCATATCAGGGTATCATACTTTTATTTCTCCAGTTGATTGGTGCTTAGTGACATACTTTTTTGCACATGAATTACTAGTTGATGCACTTTGGTGTAATAAACTATGCACTGTTCTTCTCTATAGTGCACTTATCTTACATTTTGATGCATGCCATTGACAGAATATGCATACTCCTATGACCACTAAGATAATGCAAGCCAGTTTCACATTCAATAACAAGCACCTATGAGGGTAGGAAAGCCATCGAATCAGTTAATTGACATTTCACAAAACAATGCACATTGTATTTAGGTTTTCTGCACTTATTGACTTTCATAAATTTGTCACATATACAACAATCGCAACTCAGGTCTTAATGAACTCAACATATGCTCATATGCTCTAAATAGTGCAGTCTCATATCAGGGTATCATACTTTTATTTCTCCAGTTGATTGGTGCTTAGTGACATACTTTTTTGCACATGAATTACTAGTTGATGCACTCTGGTGTAATAAACTATGCACTGTTCTTCTCTATAGTGCACTTATCTTACATTGTGATGCATGCCATTGACAAAATATGCATACTCCTATGACCACTAAGATAATGCAAGCCAGTTTCACATTCAACAACATGCACCTTTATGAGGGTAGGAAAGCCATCGAATCAGTTAATTGACATTTCACAAAACAATGCACATTGTATTTAGGTTTTCTGCACTTATTGACTTTCAAAAAACTGTCACATATACAACAATCACAACTCGGGTCTTAATGAACTCAACATATGCTCATATGCTCTAATAGTGCAGTCTCATATCAGGGTATCATACTTTTATTTCTCCAGTTGATTGGTGCTTAGTGACATACTTTTTTGCACATGAATTACTAGTTGATGCACTCTGGTGTAATAAACTATGCACTGTTCTTCTCTATAGTGCACTTATCTTACATTGTGATGCATGCCATTGACAGAATATGCATACTCCTATGACCACTAAGATAATGCAAGCCAGTTTCACATTCAATAACATGCACCTCTATGAGAGTAGGAAAGCCATCGAATCAGATAATTGACATTTCACAAAACAATGCACATTGTATTTAGGTTTTCTGCACTTATTGACTTTCAAAAAATTGTCACATATACAACAATCACAACTCAGGTCTTAATGAACTCAACATATCCTCATACGCTCTAAATAGTGCAGTCTAATATCAGGGTATCATACTTTTATTTCTCCAGTTGATTGGTGCTTAGTGACATACTTTTTTGCACATGAATTACTAGTTGATGCACTCTGGTGTAATAAACTATGCATTGTTCTTCTCTATAGTGCACTTATCTTACATTTTGATGCATGCCATTGTCAAAATATGCATACTTCTATTACCAATAAGATAATGCAAGCCACTTTCACATTCAATAACATGTACCTCTATGAGGGTAGGAAAGCCATCGAATCAGTTAATTGACATTTCACAAAACAATTCACATTGTATTTAGGTTTTCTGCACTTATTGACTTTCAAAAAACTGTGACATATATAACAATCACAACTCAGGTCTTAATGAACTCAACATATGTTCATATGCTCTAAATAGTGCAGTCTCATATCAGGGTATCATTATTTTATTTCTCCAGTTGATTGGTGCTTAGTGACATACTTTTTTGCACATGAATTGCTAATTCATGCACTCTGGTGTAATAAAGTCTGCATTGTTCTTCTCTATAGTGCACTTGTCTTACATTGTGATGCATGCCATTGACAGAATATGTATACTCCTATGACCACTAAGATAATGCAAGCCACTTTCACATTCAATAACATGCACCTCTATGAGGGTAGGAAAGCCATTGAATCAGTGAATTGACATTTCACAAAAACATGCACATTGTATATGCGTTTAATGCACTTAATGTCTTTCAAAAAGTGGTACATACTCATTTCATATTAGTGCCCCATTAATCGGTATCAGTTTCACCATACCATTTCAATAATGAAATATTAATTAATCAGTATCGTTTTCACTAATACAATTTAATCATGCACTTCATATAATCTTAATAACAGTTTTTGATTTCCTCAGTTTTCTAATTTTAAAATTACCTTACAATCTGCCCTGTTTTGTTTAAATAGTGCGAAAAAAACTTTCAATGTTCTGCAATTTCGAAATATAAGAGATTCAACTTCAAATCATAGTATTCATATTATCGATTTCCAAAACATTGCACTCTTACGAAATACTATTAAAATACATAAATATTAATTACCTTCATCTGCACTATCACCGATTGTTGATGTCGCTCCAGTTGCATTTGCCTTCCCCATTGCCGACATACTTGTTTCTAGGGTTTCTTCCCCGATTGATCTATTAGTTTACGCCGCGCCTCAGATTTGAGCCTTCGAGTTGGTTTCTTGATCGAAGTTTCTCTGCACATAAGTGTTTTGAAATACGCGCACACGATAATCGGGGGAGGAGTTCTGCAGTGTTAATTGTTTTAAGCTTCCCAACCGCCATAGTGTTCTTTTACCAAATTGACCTTTATTATTATTACGCATGCTTTCTTGTTATGTGCAGATTCTTTTTTTTAAATTTGTATCTATTAATTTGAGACGGACGATTAAAGTTTTGGATGGCTAGATGATGTTCTTATTTCTCTCCTTAGAGGTTGTTCTCACTTGAACTCTCCCCTATATATATATATATATATATATATATATATCTCATATAGAGTACTCTTCTCATCAGGCCGGCCTGACGGGCTGCCCCGTCCGGCCGAGCCCGTTTGGGCACCTTCCCGGTGGAATTTTTTGATGAAATTTTTTGAGCATGTTCCTCATCAAGTCTAGTTTGTCCATACCAAATTTCAGCTCAAAATTCGATCGGGAAGGTCGTCAAATGATTTTTGCAAGTTAACTGGTCCGGAAAATACATATTCCGGACCAGTTAACTTGCAAAAATCATTTGACGACCTTCCCGATCGAATTTTGAGCTGAAATTTGGTATGGACAAACTAGACTTGATGAGGAACATGTTCAAAAAATTTCATCAAAAAATTCCACCGGGAAGGTGCCCAAACGGGCTCGGCCGGACGGGGCAGCCCGTCAGGCCGGCCTGACATGAAGTTTTCTCTATATATATATATAGTCCTTTTCTTGTCCAGCCGGCCTGACGGGAACCGCCGTCCGGCCGAGGGCATTTCGGGCACTTCCCGATGGAGTTTTTTGATGAACTTTTTTGAGCATGTTCTTCATGAAGTCTAGTTTATCCATACCAAATTTCAGCTCAAA